GGTTGAAGTCCACCCATCTTAAAGTTGCTGAGGTTGAGAAGCACTGGCACAGAGGTACATCAGCCAGAGTTCATCTGCCAGCTAACAAGGCACGCTTCATCCCACTTCCTGAGTTTCACACCCAATTCTTTCCCCCTACCAAACAGTAAGTAAATATATCCATGAACATAAATGGCAAACCCAACATCTGTCCACAATGGTATGGCAGCATACCTGTAGCATTGCTTTCTGCTATTTAGACCTCTGTCAACCCACCACTGAGGGATGGCAGGACAAGTCAGGCATCCCGATGGTTGTGTTTGTTGCCCTGTGTGCACAATGCTGGAAAGAGCTCCTGTTTCTGCAGCTGCAGTCACTGCTTGAAAAAGAGAGTCCTCCATTTGTCAAACATCTGCAGCAGGAAGATGTTGGAGCATAGAATGCGAATAAGCACCCAGGGACAGGGCCAACTACTCTGGGGGCTCAGTTTAATGTTGTGAAAGCTATTAGTTGTTGAACTAATGTTGGAAACCTTGACTCCCAGATGCATGCATCCTGTTTTGAATTCCTCACGTGGTGCACTGACAGATCTTGATGCTACCTAAGAATCAGTATATGGAAGTTTGCTCAATGAGCTGAGAGCGACATATAGAAAAGAAATGGTTGACATGATGAGAAATCCCAATTCATTTCCAAGCCCGGTAAGTCCCGTTTATATCCTTGCCTTCTTCCTATGTTAGTTTTTCAATAACCTCATGAGGTAGACTGAAATAGGGGTGCAAAGGAGAGCTCCCTGGGCCCTAAGGCAAACATCTCAGATGGTGCCACCCCATTTGGTAAAGCTTAAATACTCTGATACATAATGCAAAGGCAAGAGCCACTGGAGAAGATCCTGATGTTCAGAAAAGTTGAAGGCAATTAAAAAAGACAAGGTGGCTATTGATTATCCACTGATGACTCAAGCGTGAGCTTTAAGAACTTTGTTCTCCAACTAGGCTCCACCAAGACTGAGTCTGTAGATAAGTCACATACATACATAAAGAAGCAATGACTGAAAGACAACCCTGGCAAATGATGGCCAAGAGGCCACACAGAGTCCAAAGTGACTAAACGAGAGAACAACGCAAACAGCTCATGCTACATTCAGGGTCCCCTGGCAAGGGGACGATGACATAAATTGAACAAACAAGCAAAGAAATAAATCAGGGAGCAGGCTTGTTCTGATGTCCAAGGCTTGCATGCACAAGCAGCTCTCAGGGAGGAATGGCAGCAACATAACTTGAGACCTTCTCTCATGTGGAATAGGGTCAGCAATCTAAGCCTCTTAGATCTGGGTTACAAAAATCTAAGAAATCAGTAGATGGCAGCAAAGAATTAGGATCTTTCTGCATCTCTTTGCTGCCATCTAGTGATTGCCAAATCTGTATACAGACAGTCCCCTCCTTATGAACGGGTTATGTTCCGAGAGGCTGTTCGTAAGTCTGTTTTGTTCGTAAGTGCAACAAACAAACAAAAAACATGCGCAGTTCTCACCTTACATAAGCAGCAGCATTGATGTAGGCGCTTGTGGCAGTGGCATAGGCGCTCGTGCATAATTGCAGACATTTGCAGTCTGTAATTTGCAGTCGCCACACACCAAACACGACTGACCATGCGAGAAGTCAGGACCGGAGTTGGAACCAGAAATCAGGAGATGGCGGGAAAGGGTTAGTTTGTGGCATGCTTTCTCCCGACTTCCGGCCCAACTTCAGGGTCCAACTTCCTGGTCCATCTTGTTCATATCAGCAGAAGTTCGCAACTTGAAAGTTCGTACCTAGGGGACTTTCTGTACAGCTTCCGTCTGTTGCTGTGACTCACTGTGGCCTCCTACACAAGAGCCTAAGTTCTTTTATGGGTGTGTGATGGTCTGCAGCAGATCTCAACCAGGGTTTTTCTACAGACTGAAAGGCCTGGCTGGGGCTCCAAGGCAGGCACCCTCCCTACCTTGAATATATGTATGTATTTATTTGATTAATTACACATATTTTTTAATACTCCTAAACCATCAGACTCATGTCCCAGCACTGGTTTACCCCACCAATGGAAAAACCCAGAGCCATCTGGTGAAGTGCACGGCTGTGCAAAAGGATTTGTTTGTGCCCATACCCAACTCCTTTGCTCTGGCCATTGCACTGCAAGGATATTTTTTCTGCATCAGATTTGCCATGCCCAAGGTGTAATAGATAGTCACTAGGGTGCTCAGAATTATTCCTTTCTCCTCCGAGGATGTTGGAGGAGTATCCCCCCCTAGGAAGAGGAGGATATATTTCGCCGAGCTTGCATGGCATATAACTTGATGAGAAAGACCTGGAATAATTAATAAAATTACTGAACAAAAATAGAGGGAAGCGTGGACAGCCTGCACTATCAAAAAGTTCAATGGATCAGCTTGGGTTTTAGTATGCCTTTGATGAAATTATGAAATAGTCACTAGATGGCAGGATTTCAACTGCCTGCTATTTTCTCCCGACTCCAGCAATAAACCTGTGGAATGATCATGGGCTATGCATTTGGAAACACACACCCTAATCATCAGTCTAGTAATTTTCTCTCTTGGTTCAGGTCTGGTTATTTGGATTTAAGTATCTGGGCTGCTGACTGATATTTTCCCTTCCCTGTTCTTTTTCTGGTCTGAATGTCTATTCTTGGAGTTGCCTGCACCTTTTTTCTTCTTCTCCGTTGCACTTGACTGTGACTCATCCTAGTTGATGCTTGCTAATTTAAAAGGCTTCTTCTCTTAACGTCTGGGGGATTGTTGTTTTCTTCCGCTGCTATCCCTGCAAAATATTACAACTCCTTACAAGGCGGTGAGAGGAAGTTATGACATGATTCAAGATGGTGTACAACTTTGATCCTGGGTGATATTCCTTTCCCCTGATCTGAAGACTCAAATCAGAGTTGTCCACTGCATGTAGTTTACATATCTTCTGCCTTGGGCTATTGGTAAGAGGGGAACCTAAGTATTAGCCTGAATAGAGTTCAAGAGCTTAGCCAATATAGCCTTAATAAAAGAACTGTGATTTGTAATGTGTATTTGTTTTTGTGTACCTTATTTGGTTTATTAGTAGTCAGCAAACTTATTTAGTTCTCATACCTACTAGGATCTCAGGCTATAGACCATAGCTGATGGGCAGTAAGTATTAAAAACGATCTTAATTAATTTCTCAAATTGATTGATTGACTGATTACATGCCATCAAGTCGTTTTTGACTCCTAGTGACCACATAGGTATATTTTCTCCATGATGACCTATCCTTAACCTGTTCTGACTCCCAATGGTGCACTCATCACCACTGTAACTGAGTCCATCCCCCTTGCTGCTGGCCACCCTCTTCTTCTCTTTCCTTCCACCTTTTCCAGCATTAGGTTCATCTTCAGAGAGCTGGGTCTTTGCATTATGTGTACAAAGTAGGATCATTTGATAGTCATTGGTGCCTCTGATGCGAACTCTGGGTTGATTTGTTCAATGATCCACTGGTTTGTTTTCTCGGCTGTCCATGGTATTCTCAATCTTCTCCAATACCAAAGTCCCAAAGTATCATTCCTATCTTGCGTCTTCAAAGTCCAACTTTTGCTTTCATTGAATATCACAGGAAATATCATGCCTTGCACACTTCTAATCTTTAATTTCCCAGAACCCATATATTAATTCTTCCTACATCTAGCATCCTACTCTAAACATGGAAGTTCTGGCTCTCCAATCTGTAGCACAAACCCAAGGATTGTCTGTGATAAGATTGCTGTTTCCAAAAAGATGCATTCTTCTGTTCACGGCTGTGCAATTGGCATACATTTCAATAGCTGAACTTCTGTCCTTATGAGATCTACGTGACATTTCAACCATTATTTGGTCAATTCCTATGTGTTAGGGGCAAAGAAAGGTTGCCAGGACAGGGCAAAAACGGGCAACACTTGTTGAAATATATCAGTCAGAAAGAGGGTGCTGTAAGTGACATTACAGTAAAAGGAATGAAATCAGGAGTCTGGTAGCTCCTTTCCAATGAACACATTTTATTAAAAAGCATAAGCTTTCATGCAGCTCATGAAAGCTTATGCCTTTTAATATCGTATGTTCATCGGAAAAGGGGCTACCAGTTTCCTGATTTTTTGCCATCATAGACTAGCACAGCTCTCTTCTACAAATAAGAGGAATGGTAGTAGCTTTATGGGTTTGGGGCCAGTCTTTTTCGTCTTGGAGCTCTTCTAAAGAGTTGGACTACAACGCCAGTCATTCTCAGCCAAACTGAAGAAAGTGGATGTGCACAAATCACAATGCTAGGGCCTTGGCCTCAGGAACAGAACATCCAACAGCGTTTTTGATTCCTTTTTTTTTTCTGGAGGGATCATGGCAAAACATGCCTTACCTTGTAGGATAAGGTAACTGTGAGCAAGATTGGCAAGGGCTTCTGCTAGCCTCCAATGCCCATTTCCATAGATAATTCTAGTGAGGACTGTACATTGCATCAGTTCCTTGCAGGCTTTATGTACCTGGGAAGAATATATACGTGGCTGATTTGTTATTTCAACTGTAACTGCCTGTCAGATAAACACAAATACTACTCAGTTCTGAACTGAAACACAAGCATTCCAATTCTGGTTATTTTCAAGACATAGATTATCAGACATTTGCCTTCCTTTCTCACTTTTACTGAAAACAAGGTTGCAGCTGCATGGTGCAAATGCTTGGGTCAGTTTAAGTTCAACATTGCGCCTGAAAAGGAACAGGGCTTAGATCAAGCTAATATCTTGACTTCTTTGACTGCCTCCCCCCCCAAGCCTGTAAGGCCTGGATGGCATATAACATCTTTGGTGTGCCTTGATTCCACCCTCATTTAAATATAGAAACACCAATTTGGAAGGGACTTCTTAATGTAGTACATCGTCCAGACACTAAACCCCCAAATGCCCTGAGAGTGCAGATTTTCCTCCTTGATGACAAGCAGCTGGCTTTCTCTAGTTCCTAAAGCAGACTCTAACCAGTCTCCTTTCACTACATGGTAGCCCAGATTAAAAGTACTTTTTCCTGCTGAAACTGACAGTGTCCCGCCAGAGCAGCAAGGTGTGTGAAATGTATGCTGCCTTCCAGACTCTTTTAGAGCAAATAGGTTAGGTGGCCTTCTGGGTGTGGCCACAGGTGTGACTATACCCAAGGTGTGGCTTGGAAACACTAACAAAGGGGAAGGCAGCCAACTTCAGAGGGGATGGGAGTTGGGGAGTACATGGGCACAGCCACCAGTGAAGTCACATACCTTGGCACTGAACCACATAAACACTACTAAATCAGGATGGAGTTTATGACCTGGATGAAGAAATTGATGAAGGCCATCCTTTTTGCTGAACCAAGGGAGGTGGTTTGTCCTTTAAATTAGTAGTGGGGAAATGGCCAAGCAGGATCTTCAAAACTGGGAGCTTTATAAATACAGGAGCAGGTGGGGCGTGAGTACAGAGGAGATCTGATTAAGAGGGTTTTCCTCCATCTTGACTGCCATCTTGACTTTTTGGACTACCTTGTGCAGTGTTGTCCAAACTTGGCCACTTTAAGATGAGTGGACTTCAACTCCCAGAATTCCCCAGCCAGCATGTTGAAGTCCACTCATCTTAAAGTGGCCAAGTTTGGACAACACTGCCCTGCAGTATCTGTTTCTTGATCTGGTCTACCTCGAAAGGCTGCGGATAAGGAAAAAAGAGGCAGACAAGTTCATTTCATTCATCAGAAGTGTCAATACTCTTCCTATCCTGCTTTTTCAAAGTCCAACTTTCGCTTCCATAGAGTGCCACAGGGAATACCATTGTTTGTGCTATTCTGACCTTTGCAGGTATAGACACATCATATCACATCATCTGAGTATCTTTTCCAAGGCCTTCACGGCTGCTCTACCAAGTGCTAGTCTGCGGCGTATTTCTTGACTGCTTGTTTCTTTTCTGTCGATGGGTGATCCTAAAAGGCAGAAGCCATCCACCACTTTGACATCTTCATTATCAGTTCTAATCCAAAGAAAGTACTGGGCTGTATTTTATATTATTTCCAATAAAAGCCTCTGAGGTCTAAGTAGGATCCCTTGCTTTGCTTGTGACATACTGTTTCTGGATCTGTTTTAACTGAAAGAATTGGGGGACAAGCAGGTGGAGCAGGGAGCCTAAAGGATCAAGACAGGAGGTACTGGACACGTGCTATCCCCATAAATGCTACACAAGAGAGTCTGCACCTAGAATCAATACTATTTAAATGCATGGGGAAAAACTGCTACCAATGCCTCAAGTCTGACTGAAGATATAAATTATTTTTATTAGAACCAAATGAGTATTATTTTGCATTACAGCTACCCTCTAGAAGTTGCATCCAATAGCATTTTCCTATGGAGGCTTTTTCTTTTCCATTCTTTAAGATAATTCTATTCAAAGTGAATTCACCAGTGATTTTGGCAGCTTTTTGCCTTTCCTTCAGCATGTGACATGGCTTGCTAGCTTGAGTTATCTATTATTCTGCCTCATCCTTAATCATGAGAAATCTGAATTGTGGGAATTGCTGGGGAGAAGGGTTGAGTTTTCTGAGTAAAGAATTAGGGTAAAGAACATAATTTGGTTGTCACAGACCTTGGGTTTAGTGTCTGAGAGGAAGGAAGGAAGGAAGGAAGGAAGGAAGGAAGGAAGGAAGGAAGGAAGGA